TCCCGACTGGCTACGGGTCATGCACTACCTGCACACAGCTAAGCAAGCAAACCCGTGAAGGCACAGAGGGGAAAGAAGAAAATTGCAGAAAAGTAAATGCTAAAGTAACAAATGTTCACATTTCTCCAATAACCTAGAGGTTCCCCGGCAACGTCGCCAAAACTTGACTCGCTACGACACAACACCAACCTGCGACCAAGTATAATCGCAGAGTGGAAATGCAAAATACCGGTGAAGTCTAATTATCAACCCGGCTCTAGATCTACTGCCTACTCAATGAACTCCTATTATCTAGAAGGAACAAGAGAATGTAGTGTCTTTGGTGCAGAAGAAACAAGAAAATAATTAATGTTATGGTTCTTTTCAGGTTCAAAAGGTCATCCGGGTATGATTCCCCCTAGAGTGTAGCTAATTCAGGTTATACAACCCCAAATTACTCAGATTGATAGATAAACCGCGAAAAGTTCTTTACTGGTCTGGAATCTCGATTAAAGTTATCCATACCCTATTGATTCGAATACACGGCGGGCGACTAACCTCCACGGCATACACTAACCAAGGCTAACCACGCGAAACTTCCTCTACTGGCCTTTGTTCCAGTACGAAGCAGTGAACCGACATCTAGACTAAATCAGTTGATTCACCGCTTTCAGTTAAAGGTTTTTCTTTAACCTATTCAAAGACAATCGTTCTAGGTTAAAGCCGAAATTACACAGGTTTGATCAGGACTCATGCAATTCTGAATAATTCCTATCCTGGATTTATCACATCAATAATTCATAACATGGGGTTCGTACAACCATTCCTAACATACACAACTAGGGTTCTTCATACCCAGATGAAATAGAAAATTATTCCATGGAGAGATGTGAGATCGTCATGCTCGGAGTAGACATCATCACAACAACAATGGACAAATGCACCTGGCGGATAATCTATATTCTAGGGTTGGGGAATCGAGCTCCGAAGTCTTTAGACCACTCCAATCCTTGCCCTTCGGTTTTGCTTCGTCACTCTCTCTCGATGGTTCTTTCTCTGCCTTTAGAAGTCCAAAAATCCGGCTCCTTTGCAAATTTCCCGAGCAGCCTTTAAATAGGCTGAAAATCCGCGAGTTATGGCCAAAGTTACGGCCGTAACTTGCCTTGACCGCCCGTAACTCGAGGAAGAACGACGTCATTGTTGCAATCCATAAACCAAGAGTTAGGCTTCCTTTGGGGAGTTACGGTCACAACCTAACTGGAAGAGGGAGACCGTAACTTGAAAAATGTCTCTAAAACTGTTGATTTTGCCATCGAGGAGTTACGGGTGCAAGGGCTGAGTTACGACCTAGGCCGTAACTTCGTAGGTCAGACCGTAACTCTAGAAAGTCTTCTGGAACTCAAGCCCTCCTCACTCGCCAGTTACGGCTCCTCGCGGGAAGTTACGGGCTAAAACGTAACTCACAAGGTCTGGCTGTAACTTTCAGGTGCTCGCTGTCCTTCGCTCCAAAATGTCCCAAAACCTCGCTCCATCGCGCCCATTCACGTACTAAGTCCTGAAACATCATAAACTAGCCTGCACAAGCGTAAAACAGGCCACGAGAGCGAGAAACAAAGCTCAAACGGTCAAGAAATGACGGGAAAAACATGTTCAGATATGGCGTTATCACCATGACATTTGGGATCTTGTCCAATACTAATGAAAATTCAAAGAAAGACTTGCAGTTGAATCAAAAGAGGATCCGATCGTTGAGGCCTGAGAATGAAAAACCAAGGGTCACCGACGCGGGAGGAGTTAAAGTGCTAACTCTTATTGAGTTAGCACCATACTAACCACACTCATCGCCGCTCATTACTCTTAAGGTAAATCTGATGGGAGGAGCAATGAAAGGCTTTTCTAGTATTTAAAAAAATTAATTTAATAGATAAATTAAATTTTTAAAAAGTATTTTTCCTCTATCTTAGGGAATTTTTACGTGAAAAAAATACTACTTAGAAACTACTACTACTTAACTTAGTAGTGATTTTACAAAATTGTCCGTAGTGTTTTATGATTGTCAGTAGTGATTTTATTGACATTAGCAATATTTTCAATTAATAGTAGTTTTCTTAGATTAAAACAAAATTGTACTGTAAAGGAAGAAAATATTGTAAATGAAAAGTTCTACTATAATTATACAAAACACAATTAATACATATGAAAATCACTACTGATACATATAAAATTTACTACTACACAATAACTACTAAATTATACAAAACACAATTAATACATATGAAAATCACTACTGATACATATAAAATTTACTACTACACAATAACTACTAACCATTAGGGATGATAATGGGTCGGGTTTTGCCAAACCCAAACCCATGGATTTATCCGTGAAAAAACTGGGGTAAAACCCACTGAGTTTAAAAAAATCAAACCCAACCCAACCTGCTGGAGATCTGCGGGTTCATGGGTACCCATAGGTTTTTGTCCTAAAAACTTTACAATAACAAGTTCCTATCAAAATTAAAGTCAAATATCAATCTATCAATACAAACTATCCATATATAAAACATCATTCTAGAAAATTCAAGCAAATCACAAATTAACTATACAAATTGTTCAACAACTATCTAGAAAACTCAAGAAAATTGAAACAAATCACAAATTATCCATAAATAACATGATTAATTGAAGCTTCTTCCTTTCAATTAAGTTTCTTCGCTCTCCATTCGATAACATCAACTTCATTCTACACAACTAGAAAGGAAAAATTAGACATTTCTCCACAAACATAAATAAGATTAGTTGTTTAGAATGTTAAATATACCGAGAAAATTAATTATATGGGTGTGGGCGGGTACCCATGGGTCGGGTTTACTTAAACCCAAACTCAACCCAACCCAACCCGGTGAATAGTGAACGAGTTTAAACCCAAACCCGACCCAAAACCCGTCAACACGGATTTTACCCGCGTTGACCGGGTTGGGTCGGATGGGTACCCGTGGGTTCGGGTTTTGTTGCCATCCCTACTAACCATGGTTTAGGATACCGTACCGTACTGACCAGTCGGACCGAAAAAACTGGAAACCAGACCAAATCAGGAACGGTATGTAAAATTAAGGTAGAATGCCATGCCGGCCGGTATTTATGGTCAAACCGGTCTACCGCGAAATACTGGCTGGTTATGATCATGTCGCCGGTTTGCTAGAAAGGAAAGAAAAAACGTCTTGTCCCGGCCTCTCGAAGTCTTATTCGAGCCATTCGTCGTTCCCAGTTCCAATAGAGGTTGTCGCTCTCCGTCCCCCCAACTAGAATTGCTTACATTTCTTGCCATTTCGCCGTTATGATTGATGTTCTTTATTTGCGATGTCGATTGATGACTCGATATTTGCACATGTTTTCCCCTTTGTTTCTTGATCGTTTAAGCTTGCATTATCGCTTCTTTGGCCTATTTTATACTAGGTTGTGTTCCTTTGTCACATTTCAGGTCCTAGCAAGTAAATTGAAGCATAGGCGCAAGTTTGAAGTCAATCGGAGATCATTCGGCAATTCGGGAGAAGAAACACGAGCATGACCTGAGGAATAATGGACTTCTACCTCATATTATGGAAAAATAATCATGGAATTTTCTCATGAAAATAAAGAAGACGAGACTACGAGCGTCTAGGATCAAACGGGGACTGATTCGGAGTCCGGACGAGGGAGAAACGAAGCATTAAACAGAGGCTGAGCAAGCCACACGGGCACGCCTAAAAACCCACACGGCCGTGTGACCTGGCCATGTGGCCGTGTGGAAATCACCGAGCCCTCACACGGGCATCTGGGAAAGTCACACGGCCGTGTGGCCTGGCCGTGTGATCGGGAATTTCTGGTTAAAACCCGATTTTCAGCAAAAGGAAAGGGGAGAGCGGGGTTTTGGATTCCAAACACCCAAGGGACGAACCCTAGAGAGAGAGAGAGAGCGACTTGGGAACATTCTTGGAGCTATTTGGAGGATTTCTTCGCCATTGGAGCTCGGGAATCAAGCTTGGAGATGGAGATTGAAGATCTAGATCAGATTTCTGCAGTCTCTCTCTTCTCTATGGAGTAACTTCCCTTCACTTAGGTTTTGAGGAACCCTAGTTCCATGTGTTAGGATCTTTCTTGTATGAAGTTTTGGATGCTATATTGTTTGATTATAATCGATTGAGGTATGATTTATTAAGTCAATTGAATCTTGATTAAATTCTCTTGATTTCTGCTTTAACCTATGATAGATAGAATCTGATTAGGTTAAGAGAGCTTCCTTGATTGATAGTGGTGAATTGGTTGTGCGAGAGTCAATCAATTCATTGATTTGTACTGGAATTCATTCCAGTAGTGGAGATCTGTGTGAATCGCCTTAGCAGACTATCCCGGTGAAGGCTAGTCGCCTGCCGTGTATTCTGTCTAAGAAGGCTTGGTCAGCTTAAGAGATTCCAAGCTAATTTAGGATATTCCGCAGTTTAATCAACAGTAGATCAACCAAAGGTAATTGAAATTTGGACCTAATTGAGGAGCTAGGGGGAATCATACCTAAGTGAGTTCCCAACTTGTAATTAGTAGAGTAGTCAGTAGAGTAGTTTATAAATCAATCCTTAATCTAGTTTGCTAGATAATGAACTGAAGCTGAGTAATAGTAACTCTAGAGACCCGTGGATTCGATATTTATTACTTGTGCCACTATACTGCATTCCCTTTCATTGTTTACACTTGGCCATTGTTAGGTGTTGTGTCGTAGCGAGTCAAGTTTTTGGCGCCGTTGCCGGGGACTTTCTAGATTATTAGGAAAGGCAGAAGTTTGTTACTTTAGCGTTTTTTTTTCACCCTTGCTTTTCTCACTTGGGTGTTTTTTTGTTTTGTTGGTGCTGATCTGAATCATGGATCCTAATGGCTTTTCCAACCATTGGGGGTATCCACCACCATCCGAGTGGTATTACCCCGAGACTCCCTGGAGTAACCAAGGAGGAGAAGACTATAGAGTCGGGTTTCAGTACCAACCCCCTACTACGAAGAACAATCAGACCCCTGGGTATTTCAAGAACAATCTCCTTATCAAGAAGAATTCCTCCCACAACAAGAAGGACCATCAGATCTTGGGTTCGCCACAGCCTTCACGGGCGATCCGGCAGAGCCATGCTACACTCCACAGCCAGATCCAAACTATCACTTGAGGCTTCTCGTGGAGCAGATTGCTCGAGTACCTAAGAGATCCTTTCCCGAGATGGATCCTCATATCCAGGCCATTGCCCAAACTGACATCTCATTTCCCCGTGAAACAGAGGATACCCTTCGGAGCATAAAGGAGCACATAGAGGTCATTGAGAAAGCTTGTTCACAGTTTTCTCAAGACAACCTTTATGCTGCCAAACAAGTAGAGGTGGAGGAAGAAGAAGGCAATCATGAGGATGTTGAGGAGCATACAGAAGTTGTCAAGGAAAGCTCCCATGATAATCATGATCAAGTGTATCCTCTGGTGGTAGATCACAACTTTCCCCATTTCTGCTTTGACATGCTGGGCCCGAGCGAGGAGATGCAAGCTGAACTTATTGAGAACCTTGCATGGCGACTTACTCTCTAATCAGTTATGGAAGAAGAAGAGAGAGAAAGGGTGAGGAAAGAAGTTGTGGAGGATGAGGAAGAAAGCAAAGAAGAGGTAGTTCTTGATCTTTTCCGAGGAGAGCGACCACATTTTGAAGAAGGAAGGGGGGTTGAAGAAGCGAGTGGTGTCCAGGCTGAGGATGAAGTTGAGGTGGAAGAGGCTTGCACCGGCCCTATAATACAAGTAATATCCCCACCAAACTTCGAGGAACTGCTTAGCAAGGACCCATTTGCCGTGTCTCTTTGCCAGATCAAGGTCACATCGACATTGGTCCCTCTTGGTGGACGCGATGGTGGCCAATCGATGCTGTCATATCTGGTTTGGGGCAATGGGACGAGAGAAGAGAAGAAGAGGTCTCGAGGATGGAGACTTCATCTGCATCAAGTGCACAAGCTTCCATCACCAGTCATACCACATGCTCGTGACTTGCGACTCCACCTCATTGACGAGAACCTCAACTTCAAGGAGGTTCTAGCATGGACCGAAACTTAGGAGCCATCGTCCGGCTCACGACGTGAAAGAAGCGCTTGTTGGGAGGCAACCCAACCAGTCGGTTTGAATTTCTTTCTCTATTTCTCCTCGGTTGAGTCAGTTTTGTTATTTGATTTTAGAGTCAATAACTCAACCTTTGTGAGATTTTGTGTGGTGTTTGTGTTCTAATTACTCTCTCTTCCTGGAAAGCACCGCCTGCCCCGTCCATCATCATTCACCCTTGATCTGGTAACTTCGTTCTACCCTCCTTATCTTTCCTCCATTGAGGACAATGTCGTGCTTAAGTGTGGGGGGATGTTCGATTATGTATGCGGGTGAATGTTTGGTTGTTTGTGTGCTTGGAGCCTAGTCCACTGTACAAATTTTATTTTAAATTTGAGGGCTCCAAGTACGTGTTTCCTTGCAAATTGCCTGCTCAGTATGCTTTGAATTGACAGTCTCTATAGTAATGTGCAACCTAGGGAGGTAGTGTAGCACTATGGAGGATGTTGAAGTATAAGATTTTTCCTATCTAGCTCTTTGCTGTATCAGTTGATTTTGTGAATTTGTGGAGCTAAGACCATTGAATTCACGTGGTAATGTGGACTCTGTTTGAATTGTGTTATGGACTCGTGTATTGAACAGGGTGCTTATGTGGCAAATGAAAAGCATTTGGTCCTCCATGTCGAAATCATCAAAAATCTTAAACATGGGGTAAGCCCAACGTGTGTGGCACCGTTCATTGCACAAAATCGGGTTTTGGAGGAGATTTTAGTGATCCTTAGTGGGGTACTCCTACAAGGTGAAGCTAAGCTGTCTCCAGTACAAGTAAAACTTCCACCCGTTGAACGGTTTGCCTACTCAAGGATGTGTTTTTAAGGGTACGGATAGAGCTTCCGACCCCCCTTAATTTCATTGACCCTCCACACGAGTTGAGGAAAAGGAGTTAAAAGAAGTACCCTGGCGAGCGCCAGGTGTACAAAAATTGCTCTTTCTCGACTAATAAGGGTCGACCGTGCAAAAGACTGCAGTTGGAACCCCCGCCAAGTGAATGAAGAAAAAAAAAGAGAAAAAGAAATGTAAATGAAAGTGCAAAAAGGGGTTCCAACGGTGAAATGAAGTGAAAGAGCATCCCGGTACAACGAGTCCTTGGTTGTGAATGGTGTGAGTCCCTTTATCCATGCACTGGCTGTCTTACTTCCACTTCTTCTCATGATCCTAGCTTGAGTCTAGTACTCGCATTGAGAGAGATAGGGAACGTCTTAGAAGACCAGTTGACCTCGTAAGCTGCTATATGATCTAGAAAATCCTCTACCGACGATCGAGGTTGTTTCTTGCTATAGAGGTCTGGAGAGCTGCATTGGTTTGAGTTAGGTTTGCTTGTGGACAAGCAAACTGTTAAGTGTGGGGGGATTTGATGACTCGATATTTGCACATGTTTTCCCCTTTGTTTCTTGATCGTTTAAGCTTGCATTATCGCTTCTTTGGCCTTTTTTATGCTAGGTTGTGTTCCTTTGTCACATTTCAGGTCCTAGCATGAAAATTGAAACATAGGCGCAAGTTTGAAATCAATCTGAGATCATTCGGCAATTCGGCAGAAGAAAAACGAGCATGACCTGAGGAATAATGGACTTATACCTCATATTATGGACAAATAATCATAAAATTTTGTCATGAAAAGAAAGAGGACTAGACTACAAGCGTCTGGGATCAAACGGCGACTGATTCGGAGTCCGGACGAGGGAGAAACGAAGCATTAAACTGAGGCTGAGCAAGCCACACGGGCACGCCTAAAAACCCACACGGCCGTGTGACCTGGCCATGTGGCCGTGTGGAAATCACCGAGCCCTCACACGGGCATCTGGGAAAGTCACACGGCCGTGTGGCCTGGCCGTGTGATCGGGAATTTCTGGTTAAAACCCAATTTTCAGCAATAGGAAAGGGGAGAGCGGGGTTTTGGATCCCAAACACCCAAGGGATGAACCCTAGAGAGAGAGAGAGAGAGAGAGAGAGAGAGAGAGAGAGAGAGAGAGCGACTTGGGAACATTCTTGGAGCTATTTTGGAGGATTTCTTCGCCATTGGAGCTCGGGAATCAAGCTTGGAGATGAAGATTGAAGATCTAGATCAGATTTCTGCAGTATCTCTCTTCTCTATGGAGTAACTTCCCTTCACTTAGGTTTTGAGGAACCCTAGTTCCATGTGTTAGGATCTTTCTTGTATGTAGTTTTGGATGCTATATTGTTTGATTATAATCGATTGAGGCATGATTTATTGAGTCAATTGAATCTTGATCAAATTCTCTTGATTTCTGCTTTAACCTATGATAGATAGAATCTGATTAGGTTAAGAGAGCTTCCTTGATTGATAGTGGTGAACTGGTTGTGCGAGAGTCAATCAATTCATTGCTTTGTACTGGAATTCATTCCAGTAGTGGAGATCTGTGTGAATCACCTTAGCAGACTATCCCGTGAAGGCTAGTCGCCTGCCGGGTATTCTGTCTAAGAGGGCTTGGTCAGCTTAAGAGATTCCAAGCTAATTTAGGATATTCCGCAGTTTAATCAACAGTAGATCAACCAAAGGTAATTGCAATTTGGACCTAATTGAGGAGCTAGGGGGAATCATACCTAAGTGAGTTCCCAACTTGTAATTAGTAGAGTAGTCAGTAGAGTAGTTTATAAATCAATCCTTAATCTAGTTTGCTAGATAATGAACTGAAGCTGAGTAATAGTAACTCTAGAGACCCGCGGATTTGATATTTATTACTTGTGCCACTATACTGCAATCCCTTTCATTGGTTACACTTGGCCATTGTTAGGTGTTGTGTCGTAGCGAGTCATCGATCCACCGAGATGAGGGTGAAACGAGAGAGAAGGAGTAGGTATGTTATAGTTTGTCATCAGGGGAGCAGAAGATGGTTAGCGACCAAGATCGGAAGGAAGAAGGACTGAAGGAGATGGAATGGTCGTTTTTTCTAGAGGAAGAAGGTTAAAAACAAAAGCGGCTAGGGTTTATTTAGAGATTAAAAGATGAATATATATGCCTAACTGTTCAAATGACCAAACTATCCTCTTATGGATGAAGCCTTGATATTACCCTCCTTCCCTTGACACAACGAAACGACACGATAAAAGGAACCCATCGATTAAAAAGTAAAAACATTAACCTTAGTGTCCTGTCATAAGCAAATTTATATTCTCTTTCTCACGCACTAGGATACCTGGGCTTATATATGGTTTTTAATCTTTGCCTTCACCTATTTTATATTATTAATATCTTTAACAACTTTCAACACCAAAATTTAGTTATTCATGAAATGTCAATTTCAAACCGCGAGCACGAATCAATAGAAGTTGTTTTGTTACCTATGTCTATTTAATGTTTTACAACTTGTTATCCGGTATATTCCGGTTTATCCCGGAATGGTATCCAAATTTTGTCGGTACGGTATTTTTATAAAAAAAAAAATTTTATTCCAAAAACGGTATTTTACTAGTACAAAACGATTGAACAACGGTCGTACCATAAAATACCATACCACAGACGAGTCTGGTATGACTTCTGATATAGTTTCACAAACCATGCTACTAACCAAAATCACTACTAAATACAAAAAAAAAAACCCAACCCTAATCCCACTTCATAGTAGCGTTTCGGCTTGAATCCGACCCCATCGGCTGCCCATTCCATGGAGACCTTGGATCTGGAACCAAGCAACGCCTCCCCTTCCCCAACACGTTTCTGTCACCGCCCGTGGTATATCATCTGAAATAGAGCCTTTTAGGTTCAAGGTAAATCTTCCATTCTTCTCCTATCAACATCTTTGTCTCTCATCGAAAGCCTAGGATCCGGGTCCAAACTCGGGGATGGGTCTCATCCCGCCGCGCGCAGTCACCAAAAAACAAATGACTATTAGTTTAGTTAGCACCATGCTAATCCTTTAAAGGGTTAGCAACTAATCTCATTTCCCCCCTCCCCCTCGGGGCAAGTGCGTCTTTCCCGATCCAAAAATGGACAGAGGAATAAGAAACATGTTTGACTGCGTGACTATACGGTACATATAATATTTTTCTTTAGAAAAACGTGAAAATAAAATAATCAAAGGAAAAAAGGACAAAATCCAAAATTTACAATTTAAATATCGTTATCAAATATCACCGTTAAAGCGCGCAAACTTACGGGGTGGGGAAGGGTTGTGGGACCGTCGGATTTGGTGGGACCCACTTTTTTAAAAAGCCTCTCTCTCCTCTAAGGAAATTACTCCTGACCCCAACTAGTTGGTTCCTCTTGCAGTGAGGGCAGAAGGTCAGTTATGTTACTATCCATCATAAAGCGGGCGAAATTCGCTCTCATTATAGTAATTTTTGGCTTCTCTGATGTGGAAAATCGCCGTCGTCAAAAGCAATGAATCATCACTACCACTGACCGATTCTTTTTTTCCTTATGAACATTAAGCATTCTCCCTTTCAAATCTTGGATTTTTCGTTGCGTTATGGGACAAAGGCACAAAGCTCGTGGGACATCCGTCGACAAAAGTCAAACGACGCCGTACCTTTGCGAAGAACCTTGCCTATCTTCTTTTGTAAACAAAATCGTTTGATCTAAATGTAAAAGTCACTTTGCAAATAAGATTTCATTTTCAAATTCTCCATCTGGAATACAAATATATATTCTCCGTTTCATACAATTTCATAAACTTTGTCAAACATTATTGTATCTCAATTGGGTAATTTGTCAGTTAAAAGATGAAACTGAACCAACACAACAATGGGTATCATAAAAGCATGTTTTTTAATATATTGGAAAAATCTGGTGGAATCCATTCTTGGTAACCGCTACCTATCAAGTTGTATAGTGAGGTTTGTTTTCAATGAGTGCTGGAAAATACATGAATGGATAAGCTACTATGGGTGAGAATTATTGAACCTAAAGTTATATCTATAAGGGTAGAATGGACCTTTAAAGTCAATTTTACATAATAAGAGTAACAACACATACGTAACTGATTAGTGACCTTGTTAGTAGATAGATCCATATCACTAAAAAGTGAGAAAAATGTTTCTGGTTAACTAAGAAGGTAGAGGGTGAAATTATTTGGACTTTCCATGTTCAAGTGGTTGAGAGAGTTCACTATATAAAAGAAGCAATTCCCACTAGCGATTTTAGTACAGGGCATGAATTATGTTAGGGTATGAAAGAGTTACACATATGTAGAGGAATCATATAGGATATGTCACAAATTTAGTTAGTAAATCAATACCAACCAGACTATTATGTCACTGCGTCCATCCAACAGACAAAAATACCCCAGCGTCCAATCCAACGACATTTCGACCCTTGCAAGTAATTCTCGCAGCCCAAATGTGAGGATAACAAAATTGTATCGCCAGTGGTAAAGAAGCGGGTGAGCAATCAAAAGACGACCCCTTTTCTCCAGAATAGTAGCCCATTTGGCTCCCACTAAATCCCTTTGCTGAATTCAAAATATTTATTGTGGTCAAACTGAAGCAAGGGGAAATAAAGACCCAAGTAATGTTGACCCGAAAAGGCCAGCTTATTAGAAAGTTGGCCCTCTTCTACTTTCTCAACTATTTGATCGGTCTTCATCGAAGACCATGAGAAAAATGAATTCATAAAGAGACAGGCGCTATGGCTGATCGTGGGTTTGTCAGTTAGCGAATGTTAAAACTACGCCAATAATTTCTGCCACAAAGTATCATTCTCAGAATTCCTGCCTAGCCTCCAATTGACAAAGGGATAATCCATCGCAAAATAAAATCCGTCCAACATAATAAACTACTCATCACAAAACTTCTCGCCACGGCTAATGAAACACCAGAGGTTTTAGTAGCTAAAAAGTCACCTTATGTATTCCTGCACTAGTGATAAAATGGGGTTGGCGTTCTGTAGTCTGCCAAACCAAAGGCCCTAAACTTTCCTTGTCCAAAAAATGGCCCAGATATATCTACAAAATGTGGTTGGTGGAGAGGATCATCTTCAGCAGAAGAACATCGTAGCCTGGATGTTTTCGTGCAGCCTAGGGAGCTCAGGAAGAGCAGCAACTCTTGCAGATGTCATGACTTCAGAAGACTTCTCGGACAAGTCGTCGAACTTCATGAACTGTCCAATCTGCGCGACGGTCAGATGGGTGAAGCAAACTGGTGCCACTGTGTAATGGAATGTGCAGGCAAGAGAAGTGAGGTTTGGCATGAAAGATAGGCGACTTGGCAAGGTTCGAAATGAAACTAAAAAGACAATGTGGTTCTGAGTTAAGAGTGAACATACCGATCGAGATTTCTGTTTAACTCCTCTGTTAGCTGTAAATCGAATAAAAAAAAGATGGAACCGTTTAGAGAGTCAAATTTATATTGAAGTGAAACGAATATGATCTTTCCTCGAGCATGAAGGAAAGGCTTACACATAGGAGAGGGAGTGAATGAGGTTTTGCAAGACATCAGGAGAGAAACCTATCTCATCAACCAAGACATGGTAATGAGTTGACCTTTAGGTACCCTAGAATACATGCATGAGATTAGTAAAGTTCTCTCATAACCTTTGAGGAACGAACATAAACAAATGGTTTCACAGCCATAGCAGGGGGACTTACGATGGCGCCATTGTGAGCACACATTTAGAAGTCGTAGTTTCTGGGGGGTGTACAACGGTGGTATCCACAACCATCCCCATAGGAGACAGAAATACACTTTGAATGTAACATCCTTACCCTCATAAGAATGATTTTATTATAATGACGCCATTAATGACGAGAATAATTGTATTATCCCTTAAGTCGGGAATAAAATGATTGTGGTGATATAGAATAGATTAGTAAGTTAATTTGGAGGTGTGTCAAACTTTGAGGACTGAACTGGTGGAGAAAAGGAAATTGGAAGAGTGAATAGTAATTAGGTGCCAAGTGGAGATTGTGGATTTGAGAAGAAGAGTGTTTTTGAGGGATTTTGAAGGAGACAAAAATCTGCCCTCTCCCTCCCTTCTTTCTAATCTTTCATTTCCTTCCTTTCTCTTCCAAACTGCCACCAACTCCTCTCCATCACCAACATCTTCCATCATCCCAAAAATCTGGAACTTAAGGTAACTAAAGCAAGTTGGGAGTTGGAGAATAAGAAGGGGAGAGCTTGAAGAGGTAAGAAACCATGGTTGTATCATCTTCTTCCTTTCTCCAAGCTAGAACCCTAAGCCTAGAAATGATTCTAGAGAAAGAAATATTAATTTGTTACTTGAAAACATGTTAGAAATCATGTTTGTATATGTTAGAATCTCAAAGAAGAAGGCTAGAGGTGGTTACAGTTCAAAGTGGTGGAAGTTCCAAAACCGCGTTTTTGGGTTCACTTGAATTGAGTGCCGACGTTAGAGAACAACTCCAAATAGTCTGAAATTTTGATATATTGTATCCCTATGAATATATTTTAAGTAAAAAAAAAAAAGAAGAATCAATCGATTTGGTTGAGAGTTGAAGGAGAAATGGCCAAAACCATGAACGGGGCTATTGATTTCCAGCAAGGCTTTTTAAAAATCAGACCTCAAACATGGTCGGGTTTTGACCAACTAAGGCCGTATTTCTGGGGAGAAACCTGCCAGAAGAACCCACTAAACATCCGGCCTCTAGGTTCTAATAACACGGCCAAGTTTTTGACCATGGAGGCCGTATTTCCCCCTGTTTTGGCTAAAGAGGTGTTTTCATTTAGCAACTTCGATGCATCCAACTATAGGTGTCAATCGGGCAGGTTCGGGCGGGTTCGGGCTGGGTTCAATCGGGTTCGGGTTCAAACGGGTTGCGGGTTAGTCGGGTTGCGGGTTCATCGGGTTCGGGTTCATCGGGTTCGGGTTCAAACGGGTAGCGGATTAGTCGGGTTGCGGGTTCATCGGGTTCGGATTCAATCGGGTTGCGGGCAAATCGGGTTCCGGGTTCATCGGGTTTTGGGTCGGGCGGGTCGGGTTTCGGGTTGTTCGGGCCAGCGCATCAAGTAACTTAACTCATTACTTATTACCAACTTACACATTTTATTGCACTAATTTAAAATATTTTCTCAACTGTTTAACCAATTTATTTCTACCTCGTATATATATACTTTATTTTTTTGAAAAAAACTAGTCAAAATGTTAAATCAATTTGTATGACTTGCAAACTTGTTATGTAATTAATCATAATTGGTAAAGTATTATAGCTAATAGTAATGGTGATATCAATATGCAACCAAAAGACACCGTTAATTGTTTATTTGATATTTTAGTATTAATTCAGTAGTAATTGGATTAAAGTATCTCGTTTAGTATAACCATGCAAATCTGGTATTTGGCGTGTGGTATTTGGCAAAAGCATAGTGATAAAAGGAGTTATTTCAAAATAACTCATTGCCCAAATAACTTTAGTAAACTGTTGCCAAACGAGTTATTTGTAAAATTGTTCGAATTATCCTAAAAATTGAACCCTTAAAGATTAACTATCAAATTTAGTAAAATTATTGTGACTTAAATCATAACTTACTCAATAACATATATCCTATACACTTAGCTTTACCCTCAATCAACAATATTAAGTTAGTATATGTTGTTGATTGTATACCCTAAACCATCAATACATTATACACTAACCACATAACCTATACCCTAACCATATGTCCTTGAGTTGTGATTTTGCTAGCATAGTTAATTTAAAAGTGAAATTCATACTTTGATTTTCAAAACATAGATAAAAAGTGATGTTTGCTAATTGTTATACCCTAACCATATATCCTATACTTTACACCACATACCTTGTACCCTAACCATGTACCATAAACATAAATTAAAAAGGGATCTCCTGCCGTTAAAGACTTCAAATGACTTCAAGTGAACATATGTTAATAAAAAACTTAGAACCGTCAAAACCATCAATATGTTATACCCTAACCATATACACCCTAAACCATATGTACCTTATACCTTGTACCTTTATATCCTAAACAACGAACCGTCAAAGATTACTTATCAAGTTTAGTATAAATTGTTGTAACTAATGGTTAATTTATTTATTATCCCATAAAAAATTACATACATATATACATATTAGCCTTCAAAGCATATAAGAATAATTTTAACTAGTCATGCCCTTCATATAAAAGTTAAAGATTCATATTTCAAAAGCTAAAATTATGATAAACCAAAAAATTGAAAACACCAAATTTGTTTCCTTCTTTCTTTTCACAAAAATACTAAAATTTTCCTCTTTCTTTTTCCTTCCATACATTAGAAAAACTCAATTTTCCCTCCTCTTTCTCTTCCATAAAATTGAAAGAACCAAATTACCCTCTTTCCTTCTACAAAAAGTTGAAAAGTCAAAAGTTTTCCTCCTTATTTCTCTTTCATAATCAAAAAATCAAACTTTCCCACTTCTTTCTCTTCCCACATATCAAAACCACCAAAATTCCCACTTGTTTCTTTTCTAAAAAATTCAAAGAACCAAATTTCCCTCTTATTTCTCTTCCCAAAAACTTGAATACACCAAAATTTTCCTTTTCTTTGAAAAACATCAAATTACCAAATAAATTACTTTACTTTATTTATATTTAATTGATGATTTTATTGAATAGTTAAATTAACCAAAATTTTAATTTATATATTATATTAATATTGTCATGATCTCAAGTGACCTTCATGTTTCAATTTTTGTAATTTTCTTAAAATACGTAATATCAAGTGAGTTTCATATTTTTAAAATTTCTTATACGAAATGAAAAAATAATTTTACTTAAGTTTAGAATGAAAAACTTTATTTTGAAAAACTATGTATTGTATATTTTTATAATTATTCAAGTGGATTAGATGAAATTCGGGCTGAGTCGGTCGGGTTGCGGGTTAGTCGGGTTTGGGTCAATCGGGTTTGGGTTAATCGGGTTGCGGGTCAGTCGGGTTGCGGGTCAATCGGGTTCTGGTTAATCGGGTTGCGAGTTAGTCGGGTTGCGGGTTAGTTGGGTTGCGGGTCAATCGGGTTGCGGGTCGGGCGGGTTACGGGTTGTTGACTTTTAGTCAATTCGGGTTGCGATCGGGTTGCGGGTCAGGAAGATCGGGCGGGTTAATCGGGTCGGGCTATGTTTTGACACCTATACATCCAACCCATATGCATTCATATGATTTATCTATTTGATTTGGTTGATTAAATGTGCCTAAATGGATTGATGAAAGGAAAGGAGCAAGTCGGGGAGTCCTCAAAAGTCAAATGACTTGTGGATTAGCGATCGAAGTGTGAGTAAATCTTAACCTATCAACCATATTAAAACGAATATGGTACTCGGGTCACGAAGCGGCCCAAGTATATGAAATGTGAATGTGAAAAAGAGTCAAAGATTGAATTCATTTTGATGGTATGAAGTTGGAAATGCATGAATTGTGGATGAAATATGGGAAGACATTTTGTTGGGTTGATATTGTGAATGACTCTTCAAATTTCTATTGTGCCTATGCAAATCAGGGTTGTCTCTGCAACTGAATTTTTGTAGAATTAGCATGGTTATGTGATCTAATGATGGAAAATGGTTGAATGATCATGAAGTGGAAACAAATTATCATATGTGTTGGTTTTGTGATAAATTATTGATTTGATGGCGTGACTTAGGTGACGGTGTACTAATATTGAATACATAATGTATGGTCATGCTCGCATGGAATGTTATGAAATGATGCTTGATGTCTGTGATTGAGATTGTGAAGCTCGAATGGGCTTTATGACATGTTTATGTCATGACATAACATTGGATAGCCTATATGGCGATGGTGTGACATTGGATGGCCTAAAAGGCCATGATTTGGTATTGGCTGGAAAGGCGACTATATGGTATTGGAAAGCCGGAAAGGAAAGGATGTGGTATCCGATATCCGTAGAGGCGAAAACATGTAAATGATTTGTTGATTTATAGTTTGGGATTAAGTATTAATGGCTTGTTTGTGTGTTATATGATTGTGTGACTAACAAAGAAAGAATTGCTTGATCACCTAAATCAAACCTAATGACGCCTTGTCATGCACTCTATCTGATTGGATATGGTGGCTATATGCCTAGCTCTCTGGGAGAGAGATACCAGGCGTGGTTATTGGCGATGCTTTATGCATCTATTGGCGGTGCTTAATGCATCTATTGGGTGCCTAAGGCATCTATTGGGTGGTGTTTTATGCATCTATTGGCAGTGCTTAACGCATCTATTAGCGATGCTTTATGCATCTACTGGTTATACCCGAGGAAGTGCATGACCTGGCAAAAATAAAGGCTAAAAGACATGTAATCTGGCTAACTTCAATGTGTCTATATGTGTATATGTGTGCATGATTTATCATTGAACTATGTATGGTTTATGAGTAGAGTGCAATGACCATGTGAATGAGATAATGGTTATCTTGGGGAAAAAGAGATAAGAAAGGGGTTTGACTTCACCCAGTTATCATGTTTTTGTTGATATCGTTAGTAGGTTAGTTTTTACTCATTGAGGTGATGTCTCACTCTCGTGAAAAAATTTCCCCTGATTAGAAGTTTTGGACTATAACTCAAGGGAACTCAGCAAGACTCAGCTTAGCATCCATAAGGTGGGATGGTGGACTCGGACTCTGACATGACTTGTTTATAGTATTTTGAGAGAAGATGATCTTCTCTACTGTCATGTGCTCTAAAGTTTTAAAAGTTTATGTAAATTATGATTTTTTTTGTAAACTAAACTGGTTTGTGAAAGGTTGTAATCGATATGATCTTGTGAATGTTTTAAAGTATGTACGGGGAACTAGAAATCGGAAGTACAAAAACCTAGGATGGAAGCTAACCAGGAGGAACATTGTCAGTGCTTTTAGCCTTGAATAACTTAGTATGGCGATTCTTCTGCGCCATTATCAATGTGAACTTTGGCACATCAGTCTCGCCCAGATGTTGGTAGGCCTGTCAAGGAGTAGACAGAATTTTTGGAATAGATACTACAAGGAATTAGAAGAAGCTATCCTTATGTTAATTTGCGGCAGACATTGGGTAGTAACTATAATATCTTAGGCGAATTCTACATCAACAAAGCACGAGAGAGATCCATGGTTCATAAGTAAGAAACTGGCCTTAACTGACAAGATGCATTTTGGGGTGAAATGGAGGAGTTCTTGTGAGAACTTCAAAGTTAAAAATGCTCAGTGTGGAATACAAAAAGTATGGGTGATCTTATGGGAATTCACCTTGAATTGCACCTTAAGTCGAAATCTGTGAGGGTCGAGGCCCAAAGTGGACAATATTTTTCGTCGGGAAAAGATTCGGGATGTTACAAGTGGTATCAGAGCCTCTTCGATTCCCTCTTGAACAATGGTGGGGAAAACCTCAAAGAGGATGTTGAGTCCCAATGGGGTGTATGTAACACTTTAGGCAAATACCACATCAACAAAGCACGAGAGAGATCCATTGTCAGTTAAGGCCGGTTTCTTACTTATGAACTATGTATCTCCCCCGTGCTTTGTCGATATGGGATTCGTTTAAGATGTTACATACATCCCCCCTTGGAACTCAACGTCCTCGTTGAGATTTGTCCCACCATCATTCAAGAGGGACACGAAGAGGCTCAAATACCCACTTGTAACATCCCGAACCTTTCCCGACGAAGATATTGTCCGCTTTGGGCCTCGACCCAAACGGTGTTTGACTTAGGGTGCAACTCAAGGTGACTTCCCATAAGGTCACTCATCCTTGTTGTACTCCACACTGAGCACGTTTAACTTAAGAGTTCTCACAAGAACTCCTCCATTTCACCCCAAAATCTGTCTCGTCATTAATGTTGGTTTTTACTTATGAACCATGGATCTCTCCCGTGCTTTGTCGATGTGGGACTCGCATAAATTGTTACAGTAATGCCACAACAAATATTTAATAAGTTAATAGTAAATAACTGATTGAATTGGTTATAAACATTGATAATCTGGGGCAACTCAATGTTCAACACATGATTGAATTGTGACTGACTAACCCCATCTCTGAAATACACAAGAGAAGTTAATAGTAAAATTTATAAGCACTATAAAGCCGTAAAACAATTATAGAGAATGCACGCACAAAACAAGTAAAACATGAAAAAATATATGATATTACGAAGACAGACTCAACCAACACGAAGGGAAAGTAATATAAGGAGGGCATGTATTTAACATGCATTCTACTAGACATAACTTTCAACTCATAGTATTGGCAGGGAAAAAGATGTCGACTACTTATGACTTAGAGATCGATCAACAAGAAGCAACAACTATAGATCGAACGAAGAGGCCATTTATAAGCATTGTATTTGTACAGCTAGACATAGAGTAGAGCTACAATAACAAGAATTGTACAAGATCTTGATAAATATATTCTATAAAACTAAGAATTTGACAAGACATTCTAGATAATTTGCTTCCTCTAAAAAGAACATTTTATAATGGGAAGTGTCGACAAGAGCACCTGAAAAGAACAATTTGTTTAGGTTTCGCATTACTCGTCCGATAGAAATTAATGAACAAATCCTTGCAATCAAGAAGAATCACAAACCCTAAGCAAACAAATGATGTAGCCTCATAGTCTTAAATTGTTTTGCAGGATGGAATCATAATTGAAGAAACTCTTCTACATATGGGGCCTCTGGGGCCTCAGATGCAGAGAATATACAGAATGCCAAAAATAGATAAGATAGAGGACCAAATCAGATAATCCAAACATTGGTTAGTAAGAAGGGTCAAGCCACAGCTCTCTAGGAGATGAACAAATCAACAAAGGGCTATAACAAGTCTAACAATGGAGTTAAAATGCAAGCAACCATCACTTTATTGTCAGCATTGCAAAGCTCATCAAGCTCTCTTTGACTTGATCCAAAGAAAAAGAAGAAACCAAGCAGCAAAATGGCAGAAAATCAGAACAAACGACTTGATAACGAACAAACAAGCCAACAAAACTGCACATCAAGATGAAGTTCAAGAACAAAATTGAAATAGTAATTTAATACATCATGATGTCGTCATCTGTGCCATTGGCTATAGGCTTGTACAGAGCATCTATCATCTCCAACTTAGGAGACGAGTTCTCCAGATGCTCTATACTTGGTGATATAAGGATATTCCAGGGATCCAACAACCTAAATTCAGATAATAGAAGTGACAAAAGGCTTAGCTTTTATGAACTATGTCATTGTCCAATCCATAATGAAGATAATGCTTATAAAATATAATCGAAATGAAGAGCATACCGCAACAACAGACGGAACATCTGACCGACCAGGAGACCCATGGGATACATCCATCCCCAAAATCATCGTAGGAGTTTGATTTATCAAGGGAATCAATCGAGAAACTTCAATTTCCAACGTAGAATTTATCCCAGCAAGCTACAATGAATGAAGTAAAGCTCAAGATAACAAAGAAGTTCAACAATGGAATAAACTAAAAAGTGGAGGGATGATACTTAAATAGGAATACCTTTGAATTAATCTTCAGAAGTACATTTGTGAGATATTGATCCTTAATAAGACGCGGTGGACAAATGCATTGTGTAACAATTCCAAAATCACTTAGACATTTCTTCTTCCTCGGACCAAGTAAACAAAGAGAAGGAACAATGAACTATCAGATGGAACCAGAAAAATGAAATACGGAGAAAGAAAAATTAAGGAACAAGTACCATAAATATCAGAATTTTTTTCTATGGCAAGAGACGCAAGATGAGTTCCGACGGACTAGACAACTTTTCTCTAACTTGCTCAAACATACTTTCCACTCTAGCAACATGACTGCTTCTTCTAAGCTGAGGGTATTCAAAAATTGAACTCTTGGGACCTTCAATGCCCTTCATTCTATTTATAAAATGGTTTACCGAAATTATTAGCCCGGTGAAAAATAGATGTAAAACAACCAATAGAAAAATGCAGTAACATAAAATGCCCTTTTTTCCTTCCTCAGTTGATTAGTTCACGGGACAGGTGACAAGTATCACATTGAACACTAAAGTTGACAACAACCCACCGCCTAATGCTCGTTTCTTTCTGAAACAACTATACAACAGAAAAGAAAATTAGACCATGAAACTTCAAAATTGTTAACATCAGAAGAGAGGAGATATTTCTGGCATGCAAAGATACCTTATTGTTGAAGTCCCAATGACCATTATTTGGGAAGCAGATCTCATTATTACCAACCGTCAACTGTAGTCACAAACACAAAACTAAAAAACTAAAAAAGGTCTTAACCAAAACAAAATGAATGGGGACATTCTCATCCAATGACCTAAATGCATGAATACAAAAATGAAAGGAAGATTCACCTAGGGGGTCTCAAAGATACGACCAGTGACACATGTCAATTTTTTCTATTGAGATGCCACATTCAGAGAGCAGTGGATCTTCATAATAGAGATATGTTCTCATAGCCTGCATAAGTTCTAGCAATGAATATTGTTTTAAGATAAAGAAACAAGACACCATAGAAGTCATAAGAATAACATACATAAGTAACAATTCTTATTCTCTCCTAAGGTTTCTGTCTAGATTTTTCAACCAAAGATGGCTTGTGCAATGAAGATAAGGCTTTTTGTATCGTTGGACTAAAACCAATGAACAGAGATGGAAAAAGCAAATGCCACATAAGAAACGGATTCATTGTACAACCAAGTAATGAACCAAGTTGCATGGGGAAATGATATTCCTCCAATAGCAGATAATTTGGCCTTTGGCTTTCCCACGTCTAAGCAAAGCATGAATCCTGATTCACTTAGTTGTATACCACGATGTTTGGTAAATTACTCATAAACAGTCAACTCAACATTCTCTGCATCTCCATTTGCGCCATCACTATTTCTCATTTTCATTGAGAAACTAGAAGGAGATGAGAAAAACAGATTCACAACGTTGAAACCATATAATAGAGCAGCAATTGAGTAGACATTGTTGCAACATAAACTTTTCATGAAAATATAATGCTTATTTATAAATGACTGAATATGGAGATATAACAACCTGTTGGTTGCTTGCTGCCTTAAGACTATGTCAAGTACTCTCAGAGGATCTTGAATGCCACCATTATCTGCCTCGGGCCCCATTCAGTGCAAGAACTAAGTGCTTTAAATGGGATTTTGGCAGCATAGCTTACTTCTATGTTAAAACTCTTCAATCCAGTAGAACACTTTGCCCTCTTATTTTTTTAGGATGGGCTTTCCTGCTCACTGCAATAGTAAGATGACTTATATAATAAGTGAAAAGCAAACATATGTAACAATAAGACAAAAACTATTTTGAATCGTACCCTTTGGCAATATAGTCTTTGAGAACTACAATGAACTCTTGTTTTTCCCCAGTAGAGTTCCAATAGTGTAGAGTCTTGTCACCATCATAGGCAAACGTTTTACCAACAAATACAGAAGAATATGTTTGGTAAAGCTTGTCAAGCAGCTTTCTACCAATTCCCTTTCCTTCGACAAGTCTCTTATCTTCATAAGTAATCGAAACCTAACATTCACATGAATATTTCAACTTTTGCAACATGTAGATGCATAATACATCGAAATAAGCGAACATAAGAGTATAAACATACAGTGTAGTAGAAGAAGACTGCATCTGGAACACAAACAGAAACTCTAAAGTGAAAAAAGAAGCAATGAAGAACTAAAAAAGAAGCAAGCATAGAACGACGACATCTCCAATATCATAAACAAGCAAGCATCGAGGAGGAGACTAAAAAAGTTCATTGTCTAGTAGCGACAAGAAAACAACCATCAGGAAGTTGAGATACGCATCACGCAGAGGGAAAGAGATATATATATATCTAGATCCAAACATTCCTAATAAGAGTGTACAGTCAAAACCACAATAACCCAACAAACAACATGTACAAAAATCGATTGCCGAAACTGCCTTTCAAAGCTTGCCGAGGCTAATCGGAAAACTCTAAACACGGCCAGCGTCTAAAAAACGAAGCGAGAAGCACATATTCGAAGCTGGTTACAAAATGAAACTTCAACCCAAACATGCAAACATATAGGTATATCTATCCATAAAGAAGAAGCACAGTCGGCTAAACACTCCAAGCCATGAGCGTCAGAGAAGAGAAATGCAACAAAACAGAAACCGAGTTCGATAATATCTCCATTAAGTAAGAGCTCATGCTGGAGCAAAAACATAGCAAAAACGAGAGAATTGAAGTACATAGAGTGCCGTAAGACTAAAACAATTTCAAACAAACAATATATTCAAACGGAAATGACGAGAACAATGCAGCAAACTAGAAATTGAAATCGAGAAATTCTCTGCTCACTAAGAGCTCTTCCATGACCAAACACAACAGAAACGGGAGAATTGAAGCACAAGAGTGCTCGATTCCAAGCAAACAGTATTTATGATGCGCCAGCTGAAATGAGTAAGAAGGAGAAGAAGATGATAGGAGGCATACCAAACAGAGAGTTGGATTTCTAGGGTTTCCTTTTGTTTTTTTGCTGGAGTAACTAGAAGACAATCGAAGTTTTATCCTCTGCTCTCTCGTTGCTCTAAGCCTCTAACGAGCTCAGAGAAAAAAAAAAGGAGTAGGGAGGGAAAGAGAATAGGCGCACTGAACAGTTTTTGGGGACAAATTCTCCCACTATTTATATTTAGCATCCCTGTTGAAACGCGAGGAGACTCGTGAGCCTTGAGAGGAGGGAGAGGGATTTCAGGCTGTATGAGGGTCCATGGGCTAGATGCGTGGTTTCCATTCATCTCAATCGCTGATCTAGATCAGTTGATTAGGATGTCATGACTCCAAAACTTTTACCGTATTAGTAAGGGTGTGTAACGATTTGAATTTGAACGCACCTGATCAAATTGGCATTTGAACCAGATCATATAGAACCATAGATAATTCGCTTGGATTCTTGGCCCCATGAATTTTATATACATAATTTTTTTGACCAAATTGATATTTGAATTGAACGAAATAGGTCTGAATGCAATAATTGTCTAACCATTGAGTCTACGATATCAGTCACTATTGAACTGTGGTTCTCATACTAATTGGCATAGTTAGCATCGGAAAAACCAAGTTAATCTAATCTGGTTTGACCAGACTGGATCACTTCCCAGCCCTACTAGTGACACACAAATTAACAGTAGTGTGGGAGACCGTCCACAACCTTCACCCTGTATACAAAGTGTCTCACACCTAGAGTAAGAAAATAAATACCTAACAGATTCACAAGCCATCAAAGATGGCCGATGTTGGCAGTGGAGAGCTCAAATTCTAGATGTCTCTAGACGCTTACATCAAGTTCATCGTCCACACCCTCAAGCATAAAACCTCCACTGGCAACAATGTCTTGCTTGATAATGTTTCTCCTCAGAATGAAAACCTCGTCGAGATGAAACTATCGTCCCTCTCATCCCCAATCACATCAACCTCTTCCCTCCTCTCGAATAAATGTATATATGACAAACAATAAGAAATCAACTGGTTGAATTCATGTTTCGACCATAGGTCACATGAGTTAAATTCTCTTCCAATCATAGTCAGACATGTTGAATTCCCATTTCAATCTCGTATTTTACGAGACTTCGACCCTCCATCCACTACAGGGCGACAAAATCTCAACCCATCAGTGGTCATGGTGTAATGTGTTTTTACATGGAAAGAATATTTGAATTTCTATTAAGATTTTAGACTAAAAAAAGAAAAACTTAAAAAATGAAATCTATCTTCTAATTTTGGGGATAAAGAGTGTTAATGCAAGTTCTCTCTATTATTTTCCTCTCTGCAAACACGACTGCGTTTTTGTTTTGCCGTCGGTGCCTATGGTCGCTCCGCCTGCTAAAGAAGGGCTCTTAGGTTGAGGGGAGGTATTTGTCGCGGCGAAGGCAATTGATTTAGTTTTATACAACAAGAAGTGTCTAATTGGGTGTTTCTTCTCCCTATAGATTTGCGGGAAGCTGGAGCTTTACGGTGGAGGGATACCCTAGTGGGTTAATTATTGTCTGATCCACCGGATCTGTAGTTAAATCAAGCATGGAAAAATCATCTGTGGGGGAGATAAGGACCGATTCATGTCTTGAGGTTTGGTAATTCAATGTTTCTCTTTCAGTTCTAGTGGTGATGAGTACTTGGGTATTCGAAGGGGGTCCATGGAACTGTCAGAACATTCTTGTTTCTGCAATAGTGGTCACTTTGAATTCAGGCACTGGATGTGAACCTATCATTCTTGCCGATCTAGGTTTGAGTTTGGGGTATTCCACTCGAGTATTATACAGTAGATAGGTTAAGTAGGATTGCTAGTGCTTTTGGGAATCCTCTCTGGATGGATCAAGTGACAAAGTTGGGTATTCATATAGGGATAGCTAGGTTTTGCTTCCAGTTGCAAGTTGATAGTGGCTTCGAGGATGAGATTCGTGTTCAACCCCAAGGTAATGTTGCCTTTTCTCTCTTGGTCGAATACTTGAGGCTTCCTCTTAGGTGCTTGTAGTGTCGGGTATTTGGGCATGATATTGGGCATGGTTCTGATTATATGGTTGAGGCGGATGCTTCTTGGGCTCCAAGAGATGTCAGCAATGTTGTTTATTGGAATTTGACTATTGGGAGTGGGGATCTTTCAGCGGTGATTGTTACTCATAACTCTCCTCTTAGTGTGGTTTTCATGGAAGGAAAATCCTTCTCGCGGGGTTTTAGGGTGGTTGCCAAGGAGTTGTGATTGCACTTGAACATAACATCCACCAGTGATACTAATGAGGTGATTTTACCAAATGGACCTTCTCTCTGGGAGAAAGTTGACTTGGAGGGTATTGATAAGCTTGTTGCAATTATTGAACAATCGGGTAAGAATGGTTATTAGAAGTCTGGTCAAAAGTCTAAATAAATTTCCCAAAAAAGGGAGAGGGAGAAGTAAGCATAGATGATAATATTGTCCTTGAACATCAGAGATTTCAATACCCCTAAAAACATGGGTATGTATATAAGCTACCTAATTTTCAGGTTGCTTTAGTTGCGATTTTGGAAACTCGAGTTACACTTAAGAATTTTTGCAAGTATAATTAAAGGTCAATTTGGTGACTGAGAACATATGGACAACTACTAGCTTCTGGTTGTGTGTGGCTATTTTGGATGAATGGGTTGAATGTCTCTTTATTGGAGTTAAGGGGACATTATCTTCATTTGAAGGTTCTACGAGGTGTTGAGGAGTTAGTAGTTACATCAGTTTATAGTCCCAACAAAATAGTATAGATGGTCCAATTGTTCAAGGATCTATCTGGTTGTAACTATCAACACTTGTCTTGGACTCTTGGATGGTATTGAGAGATTTCAATTTTATTGCAGAAATTAATGATGCTTCTAACACAATGTCTATGACACAAGTCTTGAATTTTTTAAGGGTGGATTGAAGATATGGAACTTATTAAAGTTGCAGGGTCATGCTACACTTGGTGGAATAAGTAAGAGAATAATCCAATCGCCATGTGTATTTATAGGATTTTGGTGAATGATCCTTGGTTTGATATTTTTCAAGTTTAGCTATGCAAAAACAATCAGCCCTAAAGTCTCAGGCCATTATGGGATACTTGTTAACACTTGTTTTCGAACGAGATTTTGTGTGTGTTTGATGTTAATGTTTTGCATGTTGACTTCTTGAAAAACGACAATAATACGGTTCACACATTTCTTGAGAAAAGTATTAGTACTACTACGTATGTTTCACATTATAGCTCCTCGAAGAAAGAAAGAACTCGAAGAACTCCTCGCCATAGGTTGGAAAACCTTCCTATTGTGCGAGGTTGCCGGTGATCATCCACCTTGCGAAAGGTATTGGCTCGAATTACATGCACCCACAAGCTATCTGACTCCGCTAAGAGGCACCGGGCGATCTTCAACATAAAAGTCTCGTTCGTTCTTGTTGCACTTCGAAGGTTGAGTCTACCTTCCTCTTTCGGGCGATCGATAGTGAAGTTTAGGGTGACAAATTAAAACTTTATAAATATTAAAGTGTAACGTCTTCCACTTTTTATTAATATATTATTGTTAATATCAATTAATTTTATTTCATATCGACGGTTACCTAATTATTTATTGTGATTGTGATAAGCTCCTAACTATTTTTCTTAATTCAAAATTGATGACAGATTAGACTATGCGCATATCAGACTTGCAACGGAGAGGAGAAAAGAAGGGAAAAGAAAGCGAAGAGATTGAAGGTGGGTCCCGTCCCAAACAGCTCCGAGCAAAACGAAATATCACGTGTACCATTCTCGCCCTCATAAACTTCCCCCAATCAGGTCCCACTCTCACCATTCCCCTCTTCCCCTTACTCCTCCTCCTTCCTCTCTTTCCCCTGGCCTGAGCCCGACCGCTCCTTTTCCCCTCTTCCATTTCCATCTCTGCAAAAACTCCACGCCTTCCTTCCCAGTTCACACATTACCGGAAACGGCGAAATCCGAGTGTACTGCACAGAAAATGAAAGAGGCATCGAGCGGCGCGGTGTGTCCGGATGTAAAGCCGGAGGCGAGAGCATCCTCATCCTCCGCCGCCGCCGCCGCAACAACAACACTAGCAGCACCGCCATCTCCGGAGCCGTCCTACGCGGCCGCCGCAGCAGCGAGGGCGTCGATCGAGGCTGGAGTCTCGGAGGTGGATAAGGATTTGCTGTGCCCGATTTGCATGCAGATTATCAAGGACGCCTTCCTCACCGCCTGCGGCCACAGCTTCTGCCACATGTGCATCATCACTCACCTCCGGAACAAGAGCGATTGCCCTTGCTGCGGCCATTACCTCACCAGCAATCAGCTCTTCCCTAATTTCCTGCTTCAGAAGGTGCCTTCTAATTTACTTCGATGTTACTGCTACTGGATAGAGGATTTTTTATATTCCTCGAGAAGTTAGAATTAGGTGTGTTTTGATTCTCACTGGCGATAATTTTTTTGAATCGTAGTTGAAATTGTAATCCATTTAGGACAATGCAGCTCATTTGTTTGTGCGCTTTCTCTTCAATTTTGTAGCTACTGAAGAAAGCTTCCTCTAGTCAATTGTCGAAGAATGCGAGCCCGGTGGAGAAATTTCGGCAGGCTTTGCAACAGGTTAGCTATACTGTTATCAGCATGAGTTGCTTTTGTTGCTCTACTTGCGTACTTGTAGTTTGAGTTTCATCCTCCCCTAAATTTGGGCACATTATTGAATGGAATCTGCTATTGAATATGATGTAGCTTAATTGGACTGTGGAATGTTTGAGTGAGTTGCCATATGTTTGAGTATTTCTTGAAACGTATTAGTACGATGATTGAGAAAAGATTAGGGACAAGCCATATTAAGGAGGCTGAGGGGAGAAGCTCTTGAGATAGGGTGCAAAAAGGGAGGGTAATTGGGTTCTTAGTGATCAGACTTCTAGCAAGATACATATACGATGATTGTCGTATACTAACCCTCATAGCAGCATTTGTGGATGTACCAGCTTTTTCTAATGTTGTTTTGGCCTACAGAATTGAATCTTATCCAATCATGGAGACTTTGCGATGATGTATTCTTGTGATAATTTTTCCAGGGATGCGAAGTTTCAATTAAGGAGCTGGACTCTCTTTTGTCTCTCCTTGCCGAAAAGAAGAGGAAAATGGAACAAGAAGAAGCCGAGAGAAACATGCAAGTACTGCTAGATTTCCTGCACTACTTGCGGAAGCAGAAAGTTGATGAATTAAATGAGGTTTGTTTCATGTACTTCATATCATTGAACCTGTCACAGCCCCCTTGTGCTGATTTCCTTTCTGCCTATTTAGATTGGTCATAGTAATTGTAAGTTTTATCCTGTGCATGTTTGATGGCTTTTGACTGAGCAATCTTAAAATACTCATGTAGATCCGAACCGACCTTCAGTATATTAAGGAAGACATCGATGCAGTTGAGAGGCATAGGGTTGATTTGTATCGTGCTAGAGACAGGTACTCAATGAAGCTGCGCATGCTTGATGATCCCATGGCAGGAAAACCCTGGTCTTCAACCATAGATAGGAACCATGGTAGCATGATGAGCAGCTCGTTTAGTTCAAGAGGTGGCATGGCCATAGGCGATCTGGCAACCAAGAAAACAGAGGGGAAGTCTCAACTAAGTTCTCAGGGATTTCAGAGGAAGGATAATTTAAGCAGCTCTGACATTCAACATAATCAGTCAGGGTTATCCGTGATGAGGAAGAAACGGGTCCATACACAGGTAGCTTCTATTATAATATTCTAATTCTAGTTACATGAATGTAATGATGTCATGGCAAGGATTTTATCTGGTGTGTGGATGGCATGTAAAGGGAACTGATAAGTAGAATTATTTTGGATTCATAAGTCTCCATGGGTCTTCTATCATGGTGTTATGAGGGCCCAGTAGCTCTGGATGTGTTTGTTGTGATTGCTATGTTGATTTTATGGCCATGCCAGAATTTGTTTGAAGTAAGGAATAAACCATAATGGATCAGAGAAACTATCTGTTGATTTTGGAGGTAATAATATAGTTGTTAAGGATCTTGGACCATTAATTTACTTTTGCACATGCTAACACATGGTGTTGCCTATTGAGCATTAGGAGGTTGAGTGCTAAACATATGTATGCCTTTGTTGGGCTAAAATCTTATGAAGCCTGGTTGCAGGAATTCACTATCTTTAACTTCTCTATCTGCAGTTTAATGAGCTGCAAGAATGTTATCTCCAAAAGCGTCGCCAATTTTCAGATCATCCTCCAAACGTTCAAGAGAGAGATAAGAATATCATACAAAGAGAGGGCTATACTGCTGGTCTCCAAGAATTTCAATCAGTTCTCAGTACCTTCACCCAGTACAGGTAACAATTTCAGTCTGTGTGTTCCATTTCTGATTGACTTTCTGCTTGAAAATTGATGTTGGCTTACCTGGCTCCTTAACTTTTTCTTGGTTTTCCTGACGCAGTCGGTTAAGGGTTGTCGCTGAGCTCAGACATGAGGATATCTTTCACTCAGTGAACATAGTATCAAGGTGAGTAGCTGGGTTGACCCATTAATCAAGTAGTTTGTTGTGGTAACTATTGCTGCTTGAAACATTCATGAAAGGTTATAGCTTTTTTCTTGAGGATTCTTACTAAACCCTTGGCAGCTTTCTCGGTTAGCATGTTTTAATGTAAAACCATATTGAATTTCGTCATTATAGAACATGAACTTATTGAGCCTTCTTTTTCCTTTACCCCAATCACCATTATAACTTGGCCCTAGTTCTGACAAATATGGATGTTGAAAGTATTAATCCTAGCCTCCTAGGTAGCTGGCTTGATTTACACTAGGACGAAGGAAGCACATGTTTTGGTGTGATGTGCTTATGCATGTTAGTATATCTGTTAACCAAAGGAAGGTTAGAATGGCAGATTCTAAGTATTGGCGGGTTTATCTCTTTCCTCTTTTTAAGTATTGGCTAAATGGCTGATATTCGAAAATGAATGGTTACGTTGAACACCTAGAATTCTGTTTCCATGTAGTTAACCTGTGTTTGATTTAGAGATATTCATGTCATTGCTCGAGTAAAGGTTGGTTGAATTGGTAAATATACTCGAAAACTAACTGATTTTTTTGGGATTGCAGCATAGAATTTGATCGCGATGATGAGTTGTTTGCCACAGCTGGAGTTTCTAGACGAATTAAAGTTTTCGATTTCTCTTCTGTAAGAAAGCAATCTCATGGCTTTTTTTGTGTGTTTTATTGTTGTAGTTTTAGTGTTTTAGATTGAGCCAACCTGAAGGCAGAATCAAGTATTATAAACAGCTGGTAGTTTTTACGATTCTCAAGTATTTTGTGGCCAGTCAAACTGCAAAGCCAACAGGGATGTATAAGTGGGGTTGGGATTTGATGATGGTTTCTTACCTACTTTGGTTGTTTTGGATTTTCTTGTGCTTCAAAGAGATTCTTGTTTGCTAGTATTTTCCGGCATCTTATCCTTTTTCTATTCGCCTGTCTTATAGGTTTTAAATGAACCTGCAGACGTCCACTGCCCTGTTGTGGAGATGTCAACGCGCTCCAAGCTTAGCTGCTTGAGTTGGAACAAGTATGCCAAGAACCATATAGCTAGTAGTGATTATGAGGGAATAGTAACCGTTTGGGATGTGACAACTAGGCAGGTACTGGCATTTCGATTGTATTGTTAGTAAGACATGATTAGCTAGTTATGCACCACTATTTTTGCATAACAGTATTGGTTGCCTCGTAACAGAGTGTAATGGAATATGAAGAGCATGAAAAACGTGCATGGAGTGTTGATTTTTCTCGCACCGAGCCTTCAATGCTTGTTTCTGGCAGCGATGATTGCAAGGTACAAGAAATACTGTGTTTCCTTAATTTAGCTTGGTCATATGCTTTCTTCTGATGTTCAGTAGTCGCTTTTTATCTTTAATCTTGCAAGCTGGGATTCTTGGAAGCAATAATGCTGAATATTTTGCTCTTTATGAATACTATGATAATAATGGCATTATTTGCTAGTTAACCCCTTGAGATTATTCGGGAACAGTCTTGTATTTGATCCCCTGCTTCTACTGGTTATCTTAACTTCTATGGTTGCATTGCGTCAACCAACTAGCAGAATTTCTTTCCCCTCCAGCAGCGATCAACTTGGTATTACCTTGTTTGAAGTGCTTGCCTGTAATGAATATGAGCTGCGTAGATATTAGCTAAGGCTAAGAGGGTCCTTGTTGGACTTCAAAGGAGATTAGCCGTGGCAGATGCCTCCCTCAAGTGAAAGATATTGTTGATTTCTTCTGGCTGCTATTTGAAGTAATGAAAGTTGGCCTCGATGATGGTGGTGGTATTAGTATAGATACTCGAGTGGGCCATTTGCTTACCATGTGAAATGTTATGCACCTGTATCAAGCTTGTCTGCTGATTTTGAATAATTGCCAAGAAAATTGGATCTACATAAATTTCTACCTGTTTACCTGGGTTGTGGTAGGGCTTAGAATTGTAACAATCTAACAGATGAATTGTGGTGGAAAAATAGTCCTGTAGTCCAAAGTCTTCTTTCGTGGTACAGGTTTCATCTATAGCGTTGATGGTGGTAACACAGTGGTTCACTGTCAATTTGTCAGCTAACTGGACTTTTATGTAACAGGTTAAAGTTTGGTGCACAAATCAAGAAGCTAGTGTTCTCAATATTGATATGAAGGCAAACATCTGCTGTGTCAAGTATAATCCTGGATCAAGCAATTTCATCGCAGTACGTATTCTTTTCGTTGGCTAAAACTGCAGTACCTTGTAGCATCCTCTCTATATGTAGCTCCATTTTCAACAGTTGATTCTTTTATTTTATGTTATAAAGAACAATTGTTAACAGAGAAGGTTGGTTGCCACTTATTGAGGGATGGCTAGTTTCAATATCAAATAATAGTTAGCTAATTGCTTGATTATCCTGCTTTCTGTTTATCCTGACATGCATTTTTTTGGGTTTATTTAGGTTGGATCGGCAGACCATCACATCCATTACTATGATTTAAGAAATATCAGCCAGCCACTCCATGTGTTTAGCGGGCACAAGAAAGCCGTTTCTTATGTCAAATTCTTGTCAAACAACGAGCTTGCTTCAGCATCTACTGACAGCACATTAAGGTTATGGGATGTTCAGGACAATGTTCCGGTAAGTGTTAACATTTTAATTCGAGAACAAGACTTCATGCTTCAGTTTGTTTTCCCGTTGTTTTATCTATGTTTCTTTTCTTCTTGAACTTCAATCTTGAGCTTTCTTTCTCCCTCTGCAAGCAAGTTTCCTGATTTGCCTTTATGATTTAACCGTTAGAATCTGAAACGGTGCCAAAATTATCTTCTGCTTACAATGCGGCAGGTAGCTGCAATTATATATAACGTTCGTAACAGAGACATCAACACTGCGTCTTTACTAAATCTAAAAAACCTATTTTCTGTTCTGTTGACACTAGTAACTATTGTTAGTTTGTCACCGTGCTGTAGGCACGCCCTGGTGGCTGGCTTTACATGCTTGGCAATTGGCAGCCATTTAGTCGTGTCTTTCGGTAAAATATTTGAGGGTTAATGGTCGTTTTTTTCTTTTATCTCTGCGCTATGCCATTTTAACAAAAGGGTTCCTGAACCATGGATTTTGACAAATATGTCACTGAAATCATTGTGTTGTTGATAGTGCCGCAGATAAATTTTTTTTTTTTTTTACCACATCTGTTCTTTCATTTGAGTCATTCAGTATGTACTTAGGAAGCATGAGCTGGTCCTTTCCGTAAAGAATAACCGAGTGATTAAAAATAGATAGCCAACTAGTACTATGACTTATTAGTTAAAATTACAGTGCATAAATGTGTTTGTGAAAATGACCTAGCATAACACTAAGCAATTCCACTTCCTAATATTTTATTCAACTAGGGTTCGTGAAAAGAGTGTGTTGAGGTTTTCCTATTTCAATCTTTGCAGGTTCGTACATTCAGGGGCCACACCAACGAAAAGAATTTTGTTGGCCTCACAGTGAACAGCGAGTACATTGCATGCGGCAGCGAGTCAAACGACGTCTTTGTTTACCACAAGGTTAGCCGTCTCTAAGACCAGAAGAGCATATAATATACAAATAGCTTACCCTTTTAAAACATGCCTTTTGCTCTCTCTAGCCAAAAATACTAAGTGTCATGAATGAAATCATAATCTCGAAATCTGATTTCGCAGGAAATTTCCAAACCCGTTACATCTCATCGATTCGGTTCGTCCGAAATGGATGACCCCGATGAGGACGCAGGATCTTACTTCATTAGCGCCGTGTGCTGGAAAAGTGATAGTCCGACGATGTTGACCGCGAATAGTCAAGGTACGATCAAAGTACTAGTTCTTGGCGCTTGAAATGGTCTGGCGATTGAACAGCAAAGAAATGTGTAAGAGAGCGGCAGCAGTATTTGCTCATTTGTATATAACTTATTAGAGAGGTGTGTATGGAGCCGAGATATAGCTCGCTGGGTGGAGCCACGATTCTTTTTCTGTGGTCAGTGAAAGCATAAATTATCAAAGCCTTAAAAGTTAAAATTATATATATATTATAGCTTGTTTAGTAGTCCGAAATCCGAATATACCGATTTGCCGCCATGGGAATTCCTGTTATTCTATATTGGGCCCATTTCCAACCCACAACCAGTTCAGTACTCAAAGCCCAATTAAAGTGGCGAAATGTTGGATCTCGCAAGATGATGCAATTATGCATCTCAGTATTGGGTTGTGGAATGAGATTGTAATACTTCTTACCGACGAATGGTCGACAACTCCAAACTCCGCCTCGTGCCAAATTGTCGAATTCAACTCCGAGGCTTTGAAATTACAATACTTGATTCGTCAACTTTAGGAGAGAGTTTAAGAACATCTAAGATGGATGAGCACAAATGTCAATGGAGGTCTGGTGGTAGTTTATGATACTTGCAATCACAACCGAACGGCACATACTTCCTGTTGCTAGTCATAGGGTAAAGGAGTATGAACTTCACCTCCACTTCCTCAACAATTTAAGAAATAAGAACCAAACAATTCATTCAAATATACTTATCTCATTGCATATATACACCGGGTTATAACGAAGAAGAAAAATACAACTCACATGGTACATTGTATCCATGGATAGGGAAAAAAAAAAATAGAATTTACACAATGTGATTCACCAAACCTCTGAAGGTTAGTGAGTCAAGCTCATGAGGGATACAAAGCGCAAAAAAATAAAGATAATCAATCTTCATATCTTAAACGAATTGGAGAAAAAAAAGAAAACGTAAGCAGCTCAGGACCTTCCTCATTTCGTTCTCGGACTTGCAAGGTCAAGAAAAATGGAGCCGCCCTTATTAAACCCGAAGAAATGAAAAATTTTTGCAAGAAGAATAAGCTCAGGAGAGATATCGTCGCACCATCTAAATCGTCGTCCTACTTCCACGCCCCAACCCGCCACCATCCCAGCTGCTGCCACGGCTTCCACGGTCATGATCATCATCTCCATCACGAAATCCATCTTCCATCGCAGCAGAGCCAGGTGCTTCAACAGAAACAAGAACTAGCTGCTGATTATTGGCCATTTGACAGATGAGGGAGGAGAGCAATATGTGGTGTGGTGTGGTGTGGTGTGGTGTGGTGTGTACTGCTTATAATGGTGGAGAGAAAGGTTTTGACCTCTAGGGTTTTTCTCTCTTTAGCTGAACAGTTCCGGGAAAGGTGATGGTGAGGGTTGTGGGTGGTAATGGCAGTGTTTATATAGGCTGAGAGAAAGAAGGAAGGAAGGAAGGACTGTGTGTGGTGGGAACTTTGAAGGTTGAATTTAAGGGTGAGGGTATAAATTATAATTGCCTGTGTGATAACAAGAAATAATATGCAGATAAAAAGAAGAAGAAAAAAAAGAGAAGAGGGTTATTTTTGTAATGTCATTTTCTGGAAAAGGGATGGGGGGCAAGATGGATGTGGAAGAATTGCAGGGCCATATCCCATCCCCTACTCCTACTTCAGTTCTTCCAGGTTTGGCCAATTGGCCATTTCTTCTGAAAAAAAGAAGGGAAAAAAAAAAAGAATGAAATCTGTAAATTTGCATGCATTATATAAAAACATACAATACCAATTCAAGTCAAAGTACAGGCCTGCTTTCTGCTGGCCATTACCCTATAGCCCTATCATCTTGCTGGTCATGAGGACACCATTTTTGATGATTTCCTTTCCTTTCCTTTCCTTTCCTTTCCTTGCCTGGCTGTGCCAGCAAATCTCTAAGCAGGCCATTGAGGGCTGATTAAGGTCTTAATTATTATTAAAATGAGCTATAATGACGATGAAGGGACAACTGGGTTAAGCAAGGACGGTTCTTGGTTTGTTTGACTGTTCCACGTGTTGGCATGTTGTTAATTAGGCTTTTGGCTGTTACTAATATAATAATGGAGCGATTAAGTTGTAAGGATAATATTAGTGTTTTTGTGTGCAATCTGATGAGATGGAACTTGGAAGAAGAATTATATAAAAATAAAACAAGGAAATGTGTTTTTGTGTGCAGAAGCAAAATGGAGGGAGGGTAGCTGGGTTCTGCTTCTGGTTGTGCTTTGTGATTATGCCTTTGTCAGTGGTCCATTCTGATAACACATAACACAAGCAAACCCCATCCATTTGCCGATATTATGATACACTTCACTATTCAAATTCATCACTCTCTCTCTCTCCCTCTCTGTGAAACTTCAACAGTGTCACAGGAAAATAACCAGATTGGAAAGTGAAAATCTACCAAAGGGGAAAATTTTCTATAAATAATTAAATAGATTGTTAGGAAAAAAATCAGTCATTACTCTGTCATAGTTAAAAAAAATTCTTTAAATTGCAAATTTAACTTATTCAAACGTACACCACATAATAAATTACCTAACCTGTCACGAAACAGGTATGAACACGAAGATACCCACTCAGCCTTGCCCCATCATCATTCCAACATTCAAGCCAATATTAAGAGTAGTGTAGATAAAAGGGTGATGGGTTCTTTTGTGCAATGCAAGCAAGGTATAAAGTATAAACTATTCAAAAGATAAAACCATGCTAATTAGCAATGGAGTTGAGAATTGGACAACAAAATTGAATGAGATTCTGAGAGAGAGAGGCTTTGGTGACAGACAAGTGTTATTAATAAGAGCATTTAAAGGCTTTTGTCATGACTCATGATACAGGGCAGAGCAGAGAGTAGTGTGTGTGGAAGTGAGTTTTGTGTTTGTGTGGACTGTGGCCCTTTTTTTGACACTGTAAAATCTTTCCCCATTCAAGCAAAATTTTGCTGTGCCCACCAATCCAAAACCATCTCCATCTTGCATCCTCTTTCTTTGTCTCATCCTCTCTCTCTCTCTCTCTCTCTCTCTCTCTCTCTCTCTCTCTCTACCACTACCCATGAAGAAGAGAGTGAAGAGAGTAGTAGTAAACAGTAAACCCTAAACAGGGTCAGAACACAGAAGGGCAGAGAGAGGGAAAGACTGGGAGAAAGAGAAGTAACATAAACAAAGCCCTAGGGATTTGACTACAAAGGGACACTTTATTTGCCTCCTTTCTTCGTTCTTACTCATTGACTATTTTGCTCTCTTGTCCTTTGACATAATATTTAGAAAAAAAGTAAATAATCCTTTGCCAGAAAGAATCATACAAAAGAAAAAACCAAAAGGGCAAATCTCCTCAAAAGAGCAAACCCTAATTCCCATGTCTTATGTAATAATTACTCCCCATGTTTGCATTCAGAATGGAGAAGAGAGCCAAAAGCAAGAGAGGTCCTTTCCTTTCCCTTCCTTGTTCCTTCTCTGCCATTGTTGTGTCACTCTCAACATGGGTCCTCTTATTCAATGCCTTCCTTCTTCCCCTCTTCTCTTATTCCTTCATTTTTGTTAATGGTTCTTGCCTCGGTAAAAGTCTTCCCAAGTGTAAGTGCGGCCACAGCATGTATAGTCTTGTGTTACATTACATTACATGCAAGGTAATCATTGTATTCGATTGATGATAACTACTAATCTTGTTAGTATTTTGTGAAAGAGATAAATTTCGTGTGAGAGTTTACGGAATTGTGATTGCGGGAGTGAGGTTATTTTGTGTTCAAGAACTTCATGCAACCAATGATCATTACCAATTACAAGGCCGTGATTGGTCGCTTTCGACTTCTGAACAAAAAGCTTATAGGACTTAATTTAGATCTTATGGATAAATGTGTTTGAAGTTCAACACTAGGGATGACAATTTTGCCCATACCCATGGGTATTTTACTATCCAATCCAATTGGGTTGGGTATGGATTTCAAATAAATGGTAGATGGATAGAGTTAGATGGATTTGTACCCATACCCATTTACTTGGGTTGGGTTGGGTTTTTAACACATGGATTTGGGTTTGTACCCATGCCCAAAGGCAAATTACAGTTTGGTACCTAAACTTAATAGATATGCATATTTAGTACCTAAATTTAGTTTTTTTGCATCTAAGTCCTCAAAATATTGATGGAAAATTACATTTTAGTACCTAAAACTTTTTGGTCTTACATTTTGGTACCTAAACTTTTCGAGTTTTACAAATAGGTCCAATTTTTGTGTGTGTAGTTAAAACACCCTCAAGTAAATGGATATCCATATCCAACTCATACCCATTTACATAATGAAAACAATATCCATACCTAACCCAAACCCATCTACAAACCCCCAAACCCATATACACTTCATCCAAACCCTACCCATACTAAATGGATCTATTTGGATTTGGGTAAAATTACCCATGAGTGGGTAATTGCCATCCCAATTCAACACAAGCTATCTTATAAACTCGTTTATCTTTTCTATTTTGGACTTTTTGTAATGTACTTATGACTTAATTGTTGAAATTGAGTTCTAAGATAGTGTGAACACTCTATTAATGCACCTGGATTAAGTCGAACATGTGCAGGCAATATGAAATATTATATATGTTTCAAATTATGTTATGTGTTCAGTACATCCTGAACTAGCTATAACCATGTACGACTTCACAATTGAAGATTAACTTTTGACTTAGATGCCAAAAGAGTTTGCAAATGAAGTAAAGAAATTCATTTAATTTACACGGATTAAGTCAAACATGCATATGGAATATGTAATCTTCTATTCAAATTATGTTGTGTGTTTGGTACATCCCGAACTAGCTACAACCACGTACAACCTCACAAACAAAGATTAACCTCTGAACTTGGCACACACAAATGACGTGCATCTAATAGATAAAAAACAGTCATTTCTTCATGGATTGATCTCTCACATCCACCTTCAACCATCCCATATATGTGTATTTTGATAAAGTACAAAGCACATTAGCCTCAAATTACATCCAACTCTTTTCAACTCCTCTTTTATAGTATCAATCAATGTGATTAGTAGTATTGTCGTCTGATGATTAAAGAAGGGAACATGGACAGTTTGAGTTTTGTGCCATGTACTTGCTGTCCCAGTGAATGTTTTTGCCTTTGACAAGATTTGGTGTGCCAGCTGCCAATCTAGTTAATTAATTTCACTTCCATTTCCACAATCTCATGACAGAAAGAGTACTGCCAAACCCTTAAAAAAAATCTACAGCAGTAACATTTTCCCACTATTCTCTGTTGTTTGTAGTGAATTGGAGAGAAGGAAATCTGAAAGAGAAAGTGATGCAACCAAACCACCCACCAGCAATTAGTGTTCAAGTCATCATTACCTTCTTAACATCATGTATTAAATGTACCCTGACTCCCCTCCATTAGGTCCCCAGCAGCAGTAGTCAGCAAGCTGCAGAGCCATTTTAAAAAAGAAATCTACTTTATTTATTTATTTATAGGAATTGCTTTTTTGGAAAACTAATATATAGGGTTGTTTGTTTGTTTGATTTAGGTGATTGATTTACTTCTCAAATTTCACTCGAAAAAGATTTAGAAAATGAGCATTTTCCTTGAATTATTTTTTAGCAAATTACCTTTTTGGAAAAATAATTTATATAATTCTTTTTAGAGATTAACATATATAAATTTTCGAATTGTAAACATTTTGGATAGTTTTTGTGTAAAACCAAAACCTTTTCTTGGGGAACCGTCTTTGTGGTTTGTGTTATCTGAAGTTCAAGATGTTCTTCTGTTGATTATATAGAGTCGATAAAAATTCTTAATCACAATTATGTGCAAGATTCATATTTTGTATTGAAAATTTTCTTTCGCATAACACAAATAAGTCATCAAATTTGTAGCAAATTATCTCTTCAATCAGGGTCACTCTTTTTTTAGACTCCATGTTGTTGACATTCCACATGCAACTTTAAATTACTGACTCATATATACTTGTTTAGAGGAGGTGGCTGGTCATCATTTTAATCTCTACCATAATAAAAGTGAGGAGCACTCTTACTCTTTAAAATAAATAAATAAAAAGCAATAGAAGTCATACCATATCTCCTTTATTGGCTTGGTTTTAGTCTTTTAGATCAACTGAGCTCTCAGTGAGTGAAGATAAGATGCAGCTAAGATATTCCTTTCATTAGGCTGTTTTTGGGTGGAATCTGGGCTTGGTCAAGAGTTCATATTAGGGGTTTCCCAATCTGGTGAAAAGTTCTTGATAAACTTTGAAACAGCCCATCAAGTGTCCATGTTGATAGAGATTGGGAACATAATGTGTAAGATAAAAGTTAGGGATGGCAACAAAACCCGAACCCACGGGTACCCACAACCCATCCGATCCAATCCGGCCAACGCGGGTAAAATCCATATTGACGGATTTTGGGTCGGGTTTGGGTTTAAACCCGCTACACTATTCACCGGGTCGGGTTTGGATTTAGGTAAACCCGCCCCATGGGTACCCGCCCACAC